GCCAAATTCGTCGTGTTTACCTTATTCGTCAACTTTCCGGGGCCCTTCTAGCCAAGTGATTTCTATTTGCTTGAATGATTTTGTTAACAGCTTTAGCGAAATTTCGACAGATTTGTCACTTTGCCAAAATTTGTCGTTTTCGCCATGTCAGTTCCTCAAATTTCTTGGGCAATTCTGGCCAAGTGATCTCGATTTACTTGAATAACTTTGTCAACAGCTTTGGGGAAATTTCGTCAGATTTGCCACTTTGCAAACATTTGTCATTTCCCTCACGTTCTTCAGCTTTCTGGGGCCATCTGCGAGGCCAAGTGATCCCAATTTACTTGAATAACTTAGTCAACAGCTTTAGCGAAATTTCGTCATATTTGTCACTTTGCCAAAATTCGTCGTCCCTCCTCGTTTGGCAACTTTCTGGGGCCCTTCTGGCCAAATGATATCTATGTACTTGAATTCAACAGCCCTGACGAAGTTTATTTAGATTTGCAACTTTCGCCAAATTCGTGAACTTCTAGCCAAGTGATCTCGATTCACCGCGTATATTTTTGTCAACAGGCTCAGCGAAATTTCGTCAGACTTGTCACTTTCGCCAATTTCGTCGTTTTCGCCACATTTGTCAACTTTCTGGGACCCTCTGGCAAAGTCATCTCTGTTCCCTCGTGTAATTATGTCAGCAAGTTTGGCAGAATTACGTCCGATTTGCACAATTGACAAAATTTCCACAGATTGGCAAATCAGTTTCGGCAAATCCGTCAATATTTTCAACAAAATTTCGTCAAAGTTGCCATTTTCATTACTGCATGAATTTCTGGACCTATCTCCAACTACCTAGACTTGGTACGGACCAAAGCATTTCGTCAAAATGGCTTCTAAATTTATAACAAAAAAGATAATCTGAAGGAGAAAAGCGGTTAGCAATTCTTAGGTCCAAATCCGACACAGTATCGTTCAGTTAGTGAAAACAGACTTTCAGCACAAAATTGAGCTTAGCACGCTTGTTACGTTTCTTAACTATGAATAGTTGTTAAATAGTTTGTTATTAAATTTCATGTTTGAATATGATAACCTATTAAGCCATGTCAGCTCTGTTTGAGCAGTCCTGAAAATTTCCCTTGAAGGAAACGTCCAGAGTACAGAGCTAAAAATTTTAAGCTCCACGAAAGAAACAAGATTGACAACATGTTCCATAGGTCGTCTCTCATTCTTCACTAAATATGTCTCATAAGTTAAGCAGACAAAGAACATTTCTCATTTGTTCTTCAGGGTATCGTTGCCTTTTACGATTACCTGGATTTAAATGCGATCAGCGGTGATTCCCCAAACTGGCAGGCGTACCTGATTAAACGGCATTACCTTATTTGGCTCAGGGATCACTCGACTCACTGGCGAGCTACTTGCCGATACAACACAGACGGCACGGTATATACGGATTACCTGCGAGCCTCATTTGAAGACTTCGACATCGTCAGAGTCACACCCACGGTCGCAGAAAGCTGTCAAAAGTACGAGCTTGTCAACATCCGGGAAAATGAATGCGCGAATTGCACGGCAGCGACCTGGTATCTCAAAAATCTTTTTCCTCTACACATGGATAGTTCTATTAGGCTTGGCTGCGAATTCGACGGAAGTGAGACCGGTGATGGAGTAGGAAGCGAGGACAATTTTGGACGCTATATAAATGTAAATCCAAAATTCCGTTGCTCTTCGACTTCAGATGCAACGACCCAGTTTTGGATTGGAGGAGTGTGATTTCATGACACCACAACACATAAACGCATTATGATTTAGTTGACTGTCTTTCTACATCCTGGTATATGAGGTGAAGATTGCCAAGGCTTGTTAATACAAACAAAGAGGAGATCATGAAAAGTGTCCTAATGCAGACAGGTTAACTAAAGTGATCGTCTCAAACATTTGAAGCGTTCAGCTTTCTCTTTAGTCAAGTCAATCAATCATTTTTCATTTCTTAATGTACACTTTACAGTTGGACTGGCCGGCGGATAGCTAGCGCTAGTCTAGGCGGGCCAGTCCACGTTGAAAAGTAATTGTTACAAATAGTGGCCAGTAGGAATCTAAATTGAGACTTCCACTGATCTCCCCAGAAGATAGGTACATGCATCGCCCATTTGACTGATGTTCGTGTTTTCTTGTAGTTTAAGCAAGATAAAATTATCTGCTGGTATAGGTGAAACATTTTAAGTCTAATTTGTTTTATACCATGCCATAGAATACAAGAAAGCCGTTGTATATTAGACGGTATTACGTGCAACCTTCCCATCATGCACCGCGCTTATGTTGTATCGATTGTGTTGGCCTGTAAGGGTTTATGATAACAATGATAAAAAACAATAAATTTAGTGACCCTCCCCTGGTAGAGCTTTTCAGTGACAATGCAGTTAAAAAAAAAAAGAAATATATTACAAGCTTGTAAGAACATATTACCGTAATAAGAGTCTTCTCGACGTTAGATATAGTGTTTAGAAAGATTTTGTGTTGGAGATAGCTGGTTGAGTGTATCTCGCAGTCAGTTTGTGGCAGATAAGAGCCAGTTAAGCCCAGACTTGGTAAGTGATTGAGCTAACTCATGCCATTTGTACGTGGGTGGTAAGGGCTAAATATGTTCTACCACGTATGCAGGTTAGTAGATTCAATTAAGTTAGGTCTTATCACTACTGACAGAAAAGTCACATGTACTAAGTAATGTAAATAAAGGAAGCATTTAATCCACCAACTAGTTTCTCGTTTTTTAGTAAGTTACGTTACTGGTCACTTTGCAGTCGTTAGTTATCACTTTTTAGTTTGGTATACGTGATGCATACGGAAAATTCCCTATAGTAGGCGGCGACCTCTGGTATTAAACATTTTCTTTCATTGCTCTGTGAGGAAAACCCCCAAAATGAATTGAAAATGCAGCTACAACAATTGTAAAACACAAATTATATACTCCACCATAATTTAATTTTAAATCCTCTTTTTTTATCTTTCCCACTAATTTCCGGTTCTCCATGGAACAATTATATACACAGATGCTACAATAGGGGGAGAATTACTAAATGGTATCATGGTTTGATACACTGCCTCAGTTTCGTCTGTTAAGATAAACTTTTGAGGAAGATTTTTCGCGAAAAATTTGCCAACGGACAAATTAAAGCTAGTAAATGGCAACATCTACTAGGTTTATAGGTTTCTTGCAAACATGTAGTAACATGATGTGGCAAAGTCTGGAATCTGAAGTTGTAGGGCACACAATCTCTTCCGTACTGAAAACTATTAAAGCTCCGCGCGTGATGGCGTCATCTAAGCGTCTGTTCCCTTATTTAAAACATAAATCAGCCAGTGAGCGTGCGAGGAATTGTACAGTTACTGTAAAATATCTAACTGATATTGTTCGATTAAACATCTGCAGACCATACGAAGGGAATTCGAAACATAAGTAAATTTTCCCTGGAAGTTGTATCCATAATGGAGGTCCTGCCGCCCGAATAGCCGCCAACTGGAGCACCATAGCTTTTGGAACCCGTGAATTTCTTTTCTCATGGTCACCATGGCATCACGACAACGTCGCGCATCATGGCAGGCACACTCCAGTTAACGGGCTGACCGAGGCATGCAGCCTTGGTATACTGCGTACATCTTTCATGTTGGACATCCATGTTACGGTCAACACCCGTCAAATCAAAGTATCCGCTGACCAGTATCACGTGATCATATCGGCTCAAGTTTAGAGCTCATCGAGGTCACGTGTTTTTTTGAAGTTGACCGTTGACCAAGTGCTGGTTTTCTATTGGATCGCGGGTTCATGTCAGGTTAACTTGTTGTAAACGGGGTCAGGTTGTTCGGCAGCCGGTTAACGCTACTCCAAGATTAAAAGTTAACAGAAATATAAATATTTCTTGTATACAGATGTCTTGAACTGCTTCTGTTTTGTGTATATTGAGATTATTCAAAGTCAAAACAGAAGGCCAAACAAGATATGGAAAACCTCACTGCAAAGTTACAAAACTCAAATCAAACTTCTTGCTTAACCTGGCTTATCTGAATCGGGTTTTGAACATCGCGGCCCAGGAGCTTCGCTTTTAGGCTTAACTAGATCTCTATATGATATATCACAGTGGGTTCTTTCAAAGGGCAAGTGGTATGGAAATTTCCTTAAGAGTTGCCCGAAATATCCGAAAACTGTTAACACCATTCTACCACAAATTTACGATTTCACCTTTCTATCCATAGTAAACAGTCCTTGTGATCTAGTTTCTTGTGAAATTTAATAACAATAATTAAGTGGCTTCAAATCAAAATTTATTTTACTCAAAAAAGATATTTTCCGAGCCTTCAGCATCAGGCAGCTGGGGGCTTAAAGCGATATGTTTTGTGTTCCGTTTTTCCTCTAAGACCATATATGAAAGGAATTTGAAACAGAAGTAAAATTTTCGCTGGAAGCTGTATTGATATGGTTTGTCATGGACTAGGCTTTTGTTGATTGCGCTTAACTTTTGAGCAGTGATAGGAACATAATATGCCAGTTTTGCGAGCACAATCGACAAAAGCCTATTATGGACTGATATTTCAATTAAAATTTCCCCTTAAGCCTGAAATAATTATAAACTTTCTTAAGGTTTTATAAATAGATTTAGCCAAGCCTAAAAGCGGAGCTCCTTGGCTGGGTTGTTCAAAGCCCGATTAAGCTAGCCCAGGATAAGCGAGAATTTTCAATGGAGCTTTGTAACTTTGCGATAAGGTTTTCTGTAAATTGTTTGGCCTTCTGTTTTGAGTTTGAAAAATCTCAAAAGACACAAAACAAAAGTAGTGATAAACAATTGTCAGCAAGAAAAACTTATAGATATATAAATTTATTATATAGATATTAAAAAAGATCAGTTGAAACGGACTGGAATTAAAAACAAGCAAGAAACGCCTTTTTTTTGGAAGAGACTGGGGAGCAATGGCGGAGTGAGACGTGTTTTCTTAAGCCGCCCGCCTTAAATTCAATTGCTCTGCGGATTTTAATGGCCGAAACTCTGGAGGAAACACTGAACAAACGGAAAACTAGAGTGTCTTCGTCAGACGAATCTTCGATATCGAACGCTTCTCCAGAAAGCAAAAAATTGAAAAGCGGCGAGCACGCTGTTCGTGTCCATGAAGTAAGCGAGCTAGACACAGAAGAAGACGTAAGTTTACCGGCCTTGAATATGACCGAAGAGTTTAGCGACACACTTCAAAACATTTTAAAGAAGCTAGACAAACTGGACAGTATTGAAAAATCAATGAAAGATTTTCAAGCGACTCTTTTGAAACTTGAAGGACGTGTGCAAAATTTAGAGAGCTGTCACGCCACCAC